GTGTGTGTGTGTGTGTGTGTGTGTGTGTGTGTGTGTGTGTAGGAGACTTTGTAAAACGTTTTTATTCTTTTTCGACAGTGCCGTGAAATGGGTCATATTTCCTGGGAAAGTTTTAGGGGAAACAAAAATAATAATTGTTTTTGAATTTATTTTGCTACTTTTTTTAAAGCTTATCCCCCCATAAAGAAAAAAAATACTCAAACAGGTGGGTAAAGTTTAAATTTTAAATTTTGAATTTTAAATTCAAAAACAGAGCAATTCACACTAAAATTGTTAGATTTTACAATGAAACTATACACTCTACGATGGCTGACGTTCTAGTTTTCATAATGTGCTGAAAAGAAATTGTGTGTGTGTGTGTGTGTGTGTGTGTGTGTGTGTGTTTCCCTAAAACCAGGTGCAGATTTCAGCGTTTGACTCATTCTGCAGTCTTATGTTTAGACAGCTTTAAAGTCCTGCCTGCCAATGACTGAGACCAGCGGACAACTCAGCCCATTTCAGCAGGTCACATCCAGTCGGACAGAAGTGAACAATGCTATCAGTGAGGTCAACACCCCCACCCCCACCCCACCTTACCAGACCAGACTGAATGAAAATGTGCACGGAGACCCTTTTTGCTTTTAAATGAATTACAAGAATTTAATGTTTATTTTACAGATACAGAAGAGTCATTCTGCTTCATTTATTTACTTAGAATTACTGCAAGTCAGTGCCATGGTACAAGCTTCTTAGAGCGGCTCAAGGCGTTCGAAAACTTTCAAAAGAAATGATCTGTCTTTCTTTTTTTTTTCCCCTCAAGCAAAAACATTTGGATGTGTGTCAACAGCCTCTCGGATGAACATGCAAACATCTCRTCTACCTACAAGGTTTGATGGGGCTAAATAACGTATGGCTTCTTTATTTTCTTTTAAAGCAATAAAAACAAGGCGAAGTCAAAAAGTGCATCAAAAAACAAAACAAAACAAAACAAAAAAAGAATAATTCCAGTCTGTCATCTAAAGTCTTTTCCGTGTTGAGCAGATTGCTCCTGCTTCCTCTGCTGGCCGGTTCAATGCACTGCTCAGGTAGGAAGCAGCATCATGGAGACCTATTGCCTCATGGGTTCAAAGGTCAACGCAGACCGACTCCAGGGCTTATTTACAACAGGTGCTTAATGCAAGGATGCATTTTCCTTAAATAAATAGGGCAGGATTCATCCAGCAGGGAGGAGTTTCAGCCATGTGATCTAACCATCGTCTCTGTTCCTGTTACGATTCCCACAGTGCTGCGTGCCGTTAACCCTCGAAGGGAAGTGGTCATTATCTGGGCCCGTAGTCGTAGTTGGAGGGGCCACTGGTCGCCGAGTACATGTTAGTCGTGGCGGGGTTCATGTGGTGGTGGTACGTGTGTCCTCTGATGCTGGGTATGGGGTACGGCGACGGCCGAGTCTTGGCGCCCAGGTAGTGTTCGTAAGCAGTGGGGTACTTGTAGGGGTGGTGGTGCAGGGTGTCCGGGGGTAAGGGGTGGGGGTCCGGCCGCAGGTCGTGGGGAGGACTGGGTCGGCCACTTGTGAGCGGGACCGCGTGGAGGCCTCCCGGGACGGGCAGGGCAGGACTGAGGACGCGGGACATCAGCTGGTGAGCCGGGTCTGCGTGTATGGGGGTTCCACTGGGGTCTCCGTCGTACTCCCGCCTGCTGTCTTCTGTGGACGCGTCAACACAAGAAACATTAGTGAGCGTGGCTTCCTGCCTTTAGACCAGAGGTGCCCAAAGTGGGGCCTGTGGGCCAAAATCAGCCCGCCGAGCCATTTGATTTGGCCCACCAGCAGTTGTCTTGGTTATTAGATTCAGATATCCTGTCTTATGTAGAAACACTATACAGTATTTCCACTTTGTCTTTTCAACCACTGGTCCAATCATAGGTACAAGGAGCTGTAGTCATATAGTCTTAACCCATGGTACTCACGTTATCTTTGAATTATGTTAAGATTAAATATAAAATACAAGTAACTACAAGAGACATTTAGATTAGATTTAAGCACACATCTAGATTTGCACACCTTATAAGATCACATACACTCAAATTTTAAATTATGAGAAGTCCCATGAGCCTTTGCTGCCTGAGCATACATTGAATTTTCTCCGTGTCTATGGGCTGAAAACAAACAAACAGAAGAATGTGRGCAACATCACTGGTGACTAGCTTAATCATAAAAAATAAAACAACTTTACTTAAGAAGTATTTGCATTTCATGAGGCCCACTGCCATCAGAGAGATTTTGATTTTAGCCCCCCCAGGGAAAATGTTTGGGCACCCCTGCTTTAGACTGTCCAATATACTGTATCTAACAACAAATAATCCGAGAAGAGTTTCCCTCTAACATGAGGGTTTTTGTAACCTTTGTGATTGCCCATGTTTTTGATCATTTTCACAAAATTAGCTGTATAACAAATGAAAGCAGGGCTTAACTGGGAATGGATTGGAAAACATGGCATTTAATTGTCTTAAATAAAAAAAATACATTTAAAATGTAAACCTTTGCTGGATAAATCATATGAAATTTATCATTTTAAATCCTAAATAAAGTTTGTTCTCATGAAAATAATAAATACAGCATGGTCTTAAAAACTAATAGTCCTTCCAGGTTTTACAGAGTCGAGCTGTATTACAGCAGCATGAGAACCTCTTTTATGTTCTAAAGTGATGACATGGACGGACTTCTGTCTGATGTTTAATTAAAAGCCAACACTGGCCTCATCCATGCACCGCTGCACTGTGGTCAAGGTTAGGAAGTGGAAAAGAAGAAGTGAACATTTCCAACATGYGATGGAAATAAAAACATCCCTTTCAAAGTTYAGTGTTTAATATCAAGCAAAAAGGTTCGAAGTGAAACAAAGAAGGAGCTTTGACCTTTTTCTGTGCCGTTCTGCTGTGGTGGAGATGACATTGGGTTTCTTGTCCTGGCGAAGGCACTCATTATTGGCAGCGAGCCTGGCCTGTGATTCCTGGGCCTGCAGCAGGAAGATTGGAGTCATACTTAATGAACGTCAAGGACAACATTTCTTTATGCACCATAGTGATGACGTTCAAATCCTACGGTGAAGCTTGAAATGAGCGTTTTACACAAAGATGAAAAATGTACGTTATGTTGAAGTGGATGGTAACATAACAGCAACTGAGTTCTCTAAAACAATCAAAAATTCCCTATTTTCACCACAGTCGGTTTAGAAAAAATTCATTTGCAGGAGTCTGCGTGTTCATTTTATCCGTCCGAGTACATCACATGGGTGGGGTTTGTTCCACTGCTCCTCTGGACAATTGTGAGTCGAGCAATTTGTCAGTGACAGACAAACACAGCTGATTGACTTTTAAACAATACGCAGTGATTTGGAAAACTCCTGTTTATTTTATGGAACAGATTCCACCGACGCTTAGTGATAAAACTATGTTGTTTTGCAAATACTTTTTTTTTTCTGATCGGCTCCACTCAGGTTTTCTTATTACTGCAACATGTGAAGTATTTCAGWACAAAATGTAATGTTTGCTCACCAGTCCTCTGGGTCACAGTCCCTGAAGCCTTTTGCAAAAGGATTACTGGCAATCTTCAGCTGTGTGATCTGCAAAACAAACGAGAATTACACTTCAGACTTTTTATTCTTATACATTTTTTTTTGCATTTGAATAAATATATTGGTTAGGATTTACC